GTCCAGGGACAGAGGCATGCCGGGGTCACACTAATGAGGCCTTAGTGGCCATTGTGACTGGGCTTACAGGAGAACTGAAGGGAGGTGCAGCAAGTGGGGGGACTGACTGTGAAGTCAGACCTGGGCCTGAATCCTGGCCCAAGACTGATGAACTTGACCTCTCTCTACCCTGGTTTCTTCACCCTGAAAGGGGGAAAATGACAGCAACTGCTTCACGATGTCCTTGTGAGGATTAAATCAGTCCATTCACGCAAGGTGCTGGAGGAAACGTCTGGTTCACAGCGAGAGCTACGGCTTAGACACTGTTGGTGCGCCCAAAGGTTCCTGTGTGGGGGCTGGGCCTTCAGTGTGGGAGGTGTTTGGAGAGCGTGGACCTTTAAGAGGCGGGGTCTAGTGGGAGGGGCTTAGGTCGTCTGGGGTCCTGTGGGACCCCAGGCTCTCTCCCTCCTCCTGCACCTGCTGGCAGCGCTGTGATGGATACCATCTGCCTCCAGGCCCTCACCAGAGCAGGGCTGATGCGGTCACCGTGCCCTTGACCCTTCAGAACTGGAAGCTAAATAAACATCTCTCTTCCACAGTCGTCTGCCTCAGGTATTTTGTTAAGTGAACGAATACAGTCAGAAACAGGGGCATTAGGAAGTGGGCACAGGCTGCCTTGAGAGATGGTAACCCATGGCGGGAAGAGCGGAGAACTTGGCTTGATGCTTCAGCCCCAGGGGTGGAGAGGGTTATTTTGGCCAGGAGACGGGGCACAAGTGTCGGTGGAAGAGGGTCAGACTGTGCAGAGGTCCATTCCAGGCAGGAACCGCAACTAGGAAGAGGGGTCCGGGCAACTAGGAAGAGGCGAGCCGTCAAGATGCCTGTCCAGATGGGCCCGCCCCCTCCCCGCCCCCTCCCCGCCCCTGCCAGGTTACAGCACTTGTTCTGGGTCGGGACATGGGCTGGACCACCCGGGTTCGGGACGGAGCCGTGTCTCCTCTCTCCCGCCCCCTTGATTCCATAAGGTCCCTGAAATCAGCCTTTGGAGAGTTCCAAGGATGGCAATAAAAACAATGGCAGTGGCCGAGCAGCGGGGCACACGCCTGTCATCCCAGCGGCTCTGGAGGCTGAGGCAGGAGGATCGTGAGTTCAAAGCCAGCTCCAGCAAAGGCCAGGAGCTAAGCAACTCAGTGAGACCCTGTCTCTAAATAAAAAAAATTTTAAAAAGGGCCGGGGCTGTGGCTCAGTGGTTAAGCGCTCCTGAGTTCCATCCCTGGTATCTAAACAAATAAATAGCAGAGGGTCTAGGAGTGGAGCTCAGTGATAGAGCACTTGCCTACCAGGCCCCAGGCCCCGGGCTTGATCCACAGCACTGCAAAAAGTAATGATAATACTAGTCACAAGCACTTATGTAGCACTTCCTATATGATGATGTTTGTTCTAATTGTTTGTGTATTATTAACTCATGGCATCCTCCAGCAGCCTTGCGAGGTAGGGATAACTAACACGTCCATTTCACAGATGAGGGAACTGAGGCACAGAGAGGTTCCACGACTTATCCACACCACACAGCCCAGGAATGGTCAAGCCACGACCCCGGGACCCTGGCTATCTTCCATCATTCAAGTGGGAGTAATAAACGTCCAGGGGAAACAATGGTTTCTATCGTAAGGATGTTGTCTGGAAAGATTACGGGTGACATCACACAGAATCCTTTTTGGGAGGACCGTGGGAGAAATCCCTGCCTGTTCTCAGTACCAAAAATAGTTGAGCCTTCTCCTGAGCATCTGGTGTACTTTTGTTTCAGGACACTGGGAACCGCAGAAATGACCAGCGTTCTCTTTTCGAGTTGGCTGCTAAGGAGCTTGGAGCCAAATTTATGGCCCGACCATATGCTGATGGGTTGGGTTCTTCAGGGATGAGTTTTTTCTTAGTCTCATTTCTGGCTCTGTCTTATGTCCCTACTTTTGTTTTCCTCCCCTTACTCCCCTGGAAAAAAAATTAAAAAAAAAAAAAAAAAACAGGCTTTAAAAGAATCCTAACAAGAACCAAGGGTACCCACCCTGCAGGCCCTGGGCTCCACCTCCTTCCAAGATACATGTTCACTTTGAAGATTTGGGGAAGGAGATAGAGATGATGATAAAAATTCCTGTGAATCCCAATTTTTAAGGACTGCATAATATTCCACCCTGTGGGTGCATCTTAAATTTTTAAATCCTTCCTCCTGTTGTCAGTAATTGGAGGAAACAATTCTAGTCCTCCAGATCCAAAGAAGCACTTTAGTTAGCATCCTCAGAGCGGTCCAGTACCCCTGTGATTTCCATGGGCTGGATTCCTTGCCTTGGATTGGCTGAGTAAAAAGCAAGTACAGAAATCTCAAAGCCTGAGCTGTGGGTTGGTGGAACGGCCCTCCAGGAGTGCCTAATCCCTGCTCTCTCGCATTTAATTGGAGCCATCATGTGGTATTTTACATATCCTTGTAACCCACTTAGATGCTTTTCTGGAACAAGGCAGGATACAAATAAATATATAAGCCCCAAGTCACATCTGCTTCCTGATTAAATTATCCAGTCTCAAACACCATGATATCTTCATTTTATTAAAGCCTTGCTCTCTTCCTGTTGGCTAATCCCTAGCAGCCAATGCTCAGTGAGGGTCTTGTCCCCAGGATGCTGGAGTAATCCCTTCACCCTGGCAAACATTAAATTTTTTTTTTTTTTTTTAGTGCTGGGAATTGAACCTGGGGCCTCATGCAGGAGGGGCGGGCACACTCCCGCTGAGCCACACCCCAGCCCACCACCGGGGAAGGTTTGGAGCTCAGATACAGACAGCAGAGCTGCAGAGATGATGATCCCCGGCCCAGCTAGCCTTGAGGAAAACTTCCCTGTGTGTCTCCTGCTCCGTTCACCCTGGACCAGGGACGGAGCCTGGTGCTTAATTGGGGCAGCAGCCTCAGTGAAGTATTGGAACAATCCCAGCCAGAAGAGACGAATTGAGGAATTGCTACTTGAGTGCATAGCTTACCCTCTCAGAGCCCATTAGCAGGAATATTAGGCTGGAGGCAGAGCTCGGCAAGAGAGCAGCTGGCTTCTCCCGAGCATTTGCCAACCCGAGGTGAGGCCGGCCGCCCCACTGGAGATTTCTGTACCCAGAGAACCCACGGATTGTCACACCCGCCATCATGAGCATCTCCCTCAGGATAGACCACTTTATCCCTCCAGCTATGACCTCTAAGAGTTCATGACTTTGGTTCTAAGCTAGACCCCCGTCTAGGAGAAATGGCATTTGGACTTTCAAACACTGAGCCCTCCAGGACATCCCCATGGCTCCTAGGGACATGAACTCGACTGCATATTTGAACTTAAACCTGCCAGGCAAAACTCGGGATCTTAGCATGCTGAGACTTGGCAGCCAAACCCCAGGCATTTAATTATACTGCTGCAGAGCACACTCCTGCGAAGTGCGTCCAACGCAGACAATTATTTTAGGAAAGCCACGGAGGCCTTCTCTTCGTGCCACTTAAATCTCACTTCTCTTTTACAATTCAATATTTCATATGTTGAGAGAAAATGCCTTGTTTGCTTCAAAGGACATGTTAGGAAATGTAGGAAGGAGATGTTAATTATGTTGAGCTGGGCTGCTTTGTTTCTGCACAATTGAGAATCTTTGGGGGGGGGGGTTCTGACTTAATTGCTTGGGGATTGGAGCCAGGGGAGGATGTGCAGGGAGGCTTGGGCTCCTGTTCATTGTTTTGCTTTGCGTTGTCTTTAAAGAATTGGATTTGTCTTGAAAAGAGATGAAACTAATGCTGCATTCTTCTAGAACAAAGGGAAAGCCTTGCTGGGGTCATCCTTCTTGTCTTGGGCTTCGGAGGGGGGGACTGGGTACAGACGAAGTCAGCCCTCTCTATCCCTGGGTTCTCCCTCCGCCGATTCAATCACCCGCAGATTGAAAATATTGGAGAGCAACTGCTCTGCACCGGACATGCACGGACTTTTCCTTCTTCTTGTCCCCTAAACAGTACCGGGTAACAACTATTTCAGAGCATTTATGTTGTATTAGGTATTATAAGTCATCTAGAGAGGATTGAGAGTTTACAGGAGGATGTGCAGAGCTTCTGTGTAAATACTGTGACCTTTAAAATGAGGGACTTGAGAATCCTCAGCTCTTGGTATCTGCGGGGGGTCCTGGAACCATCCCTCGCAGATCCCCAGGGATGACTGTGTTTGCCTAGGCGGGAGATCCCGGGAGGAACCAGTGGGGACGCAGGGAAGGGAGGGAGGAGATGAGGGAGATGCATGCAGAGCCAGTTAATGAGCAGGTCGCACCCCGGGCCCCTGGAGCACAGTGCCTGTGGCTCTCCCAGGAGACTTCATAGGACCTCGAAGTTCTCCCAAGGAAGAGGCACGAGGATTGAATTATCACTAGCACCTTTGAGTCATTGTTGACAATGCTGGGGGGAGGCCCTGCCTGCCTGTCCAGTGCGAAGGCCGAATGCACCCTGACCACCAAAGGAGGCCCATGGGGCGGTGGGGAAAGCTGGGCACTTCCACACTGAGCCAGTGGAGATTTCACCCAGCTCAGACCTGGCGCAAGGAAGGCTGCGAAGAAGAGTTACCCCAGTGGAGGGCATGTGGTTACCTAAAGAAGGGGTTCCCAGCCGGGAATGTTGGCACACATCTGTAATCCCAGAGGCTCGGGAGGCTGAGGCAGGAGGATCACGAATTCAAAGCCAGCAAAAGCAAGGCACTAAGCAACTCAGTGAGACCCTGTCTCTAAATCAAATACAAAATAGGGCTGGGGATGGGGCTCAGTGGTCGAGTGCCCCTGAGTTCAATCCCTAGTACCCCAGCAAAAAAGAAGGGGTCTCCCTAATTTCAGCAGAGCATATGTAAGACACAAATAATGACTCATTACAATCGTTTTGGATGGTGTTTATGAATGGTTTGTTTTCCTTATAAATTAGTGGAGGAGTCAAGCTCATCTGTACAATTATATCATTAGCTCACATTCCAATAAGCTTTTTTAAAAAAAGGCTTTATTGAGCGGGGGAGGACAAGGTGGGGCATCGCGGAGTCTCAGCGATTCTTCCTGACTCCCAGGCGGCTTATCTCAGCTGCAGCTCGTGGGACGGCCTCAGCTGGGGGATCAGGAACTCGGTGGAAGTGATCCATTTTTGCGGTGCTTTGTTTCTCTGTAGAACATTCGCGGTTTTATCAGAATTCTCATAAGAATGCATTCCAGAGAGGACCGGAATTCTCTATTTGCCATCTCTATGGCCACTACTCATCATGGCTTGCCTGGATACATGCCGTCACCTCAGCTGAGCCTCCCTCCTTTGTACCCCCGACCCCAGCAACAGCTGGAGGTCACTGTGAGCACCCAAGTCAGGGCGCACCCCTCCTTGACTCGGAACCCTCCATGGCTCCCGCATCATCCAGAGAAGCCAAATCCTCGCCGTAGGCTGCGGCGCTGCGCTGTCCCCAGCCTCCTCTCCTGGACGACCCCCGAGGACCCCCTGGCTCACTCAGGGTCCTGCCTCAGGTCCCGCCTCAGG